ACTGGAAAGAGGCGCCAAAATCCAAACAGTGAGCCTCTTGTCATTTTCAAACATAAAGCAATGCACTAATCGTACATATGTAGATGGCTGTATTCGTTGTTCGTGGCTATCGACACCAATTTTCGATTGAAAAGATGGGATATATCCAGTGATGAAGCGGACCCAAGTCTCTCAAAGGGATGGTCATACTTTGTGGAAGAGGAGAAGTTCAAATCCCATCTCAAGGAGCATTTGTCCGAGACACAGGAGGTATGTAAACAGTCTGGTCCAAGATGTCGCTAACAGTACCTTCCCAGAAAAGTTCCTGCTCAAACCATAATGCCGTGAATATGGCTGAGACAAAGCTATCACAGGGCCTTGCAGCTACTGGAGTAGGGACAGTCGATTGTGCGCGACATAACTTCAAGCACCCGAATGGCGTTGGGGACCTACAAAAAGGGGAAAAGTGCATGTGTCACTTGTGAAGCTGCTTTGACTAATTCAATTTTCAGGTACATTAACATGGACTACCTGTTTTTCTCCACACTTCGCAACAACTGTCTCGACGTTCTGAACGTATCATATGACATTGCGTGTCAATGGCACAAGAATTTATGGAGTCGCATGGAGTCGCTACCCGAGTCACACCATATATCCTATTTGCGCATTTTTATTCGGTTCTTCATCCCCAAGTTCCACCTTCCAGCACATATCAAGAAGTGTCAGACAATGTTCTCTTTCAATTTCACGTGTTTTGTGGGTCGTACAGATGGGGAGGTACCCAAGCGTGGTTGGTCCAACATAAATCCGGTCGCATCAAGTACAAAGGCAATGGGACCCGGCTGTCATAGGGACACATTAGACGATCATTTTGGGGATTGGAACTGGAAAAAAGTTGTTGGCTTAGGTATGTGATTTACGCTCACTCATTATTCTTGTTTGGTTAATAATTATGGGGTCAGGCGCATATCTCGTCCATAAAATGCAGGAAGCTGTCATTGAGAAGGCTGATCACGAGGCTGCGTTCCAGGAGTTCAATGCTGCAATTTCGTCTGACCACAGGTCAGCATGGACAGTGGAGATGGAGAAATGGGAGGAAAACCCCAATGACACGTCAGTCACTAACCCCCTCGAGTCCAAGTCAATCCGTAAGCTTTATTTTACTATTCAAATTATATCTACTGAAGCATCTATTATCCAGAAATCACGCAAGCTGCAGCCCATCTGAAACTTGCGGAGATGGAAGCTGAAGAACTCGCTCGTGGGATTGACCTATCTCTGCACCCCGACATCTCACCAAGTGTACTTATCGCGTCAGGATTAGACCTCAAAGAGGAAGAGTAAGTGGCTTTACCTAAATGCTACCAGGTGAAGACAACTAACACCTGGGACAGACGTCGTGTGAGCAGTATCCGAAGGAATGGGTCTCCACGTTTCTGATATACAGAAAGGCACACTCGCGCGAATGAGGAATGTCCTGCGTCGTAAGATCGAAACGTGGAGAAGTGCACAGGTTCTGTACATACCTGCGGTACAGATTCTCACTACTACTGTGGTTTCCGACCCTCATCAGCCGTTTGAGAATGCTGAGGATATCCACCTGTGGTTGCCATCTAGTCTGAAAGGCAAACCATGTGATCCCCGACTTCAAGCTTATGAATGGGATTTGCAGTATGCCCAGGCCCACGATGTGCTCGAAGAGCTTCGACAGTGCCTTCGCATGCGCTGTTCTATGCTTACATTCAAGCGGGAGTGGGTTCGTGGTCAAGGCTCCAACACTCGTGCTCAGAATGCACTTGCTCGTGTGCACGGGCGACAAGTGGCATGTACGAAGAGATACAGGGTTGCGTGGGAGGCGCTGAAGACCCTGGCACCCCTCTTGAAGAAAGTGGGATGGCGAGGACGGCTGCAAGACCTGAAGGATGAAGACGTGAAACCATTAGTGGACCCTTTCAGCAGAGAGACTGAAGGCTGCTGCCGCCGCCTGACGTGGATCTGGATGATGATGGGTGTAGATACAGGTAGCGATGGGGGCGACGTGGATGGTTAGTTTTTGTTTGATTTTATAAGCTGTTACTGACAACGATCTCTGAATCTTCTGCTAGGAGTTCACGTGGAATGGTGCAAGTCCAGAGCAAGAGCAATGCGCTGGGCGGAGGAGATAGAATTGTTACAGGAGGAGATGCAGAGGGTGCTACAGTTTTTCGATTGGCAAGCCAACTGGTGGGACGAGCAGCAGGACCGGCTCGTCTGTGAGACAGCAGCTCAACGCGAGGGCTTGGTAGCATATGCTCACAAACAGGCACACATCCGACGTCAGCTCGCATCGCGCTTTAGAGTGCTGTGGACCCCCTACCTTCCCCAGCTATCCCCTCTGACCTCAAGCCTCATATCAACCACCGTACCATCACCGGACAACATGCAATTCCCCGACCTCATGCTACCTGTTTCATGTGCCTAGTGTAGTCAACCTTCTGTAGTGTAATGAATCTTCTATTGTGCCTAGCACTTCATTGCAATGAACTGTCTTGATATTTTAGTTGCCGGGGAATAAAAATATGTAGTTGCCGAAGAACGAGAATATATAATTGCCGGATGATAGGAACACTACATATATGGACAGCTAGTGTACTGAGGGGCTGGGCTACTACTAGGGAGGCAGCTCTGATGGTTAGCACATTCTGATGCATTATAGACAGGCTAACAAGCATTGTTAATGCAATACAGTTGTGTGGTAAGTACCAGATATAATGCATTATGCCTACAGGGACTTGTGTCATTTGGAAGGTCAATATCAATTTGGACGACCTACACTTACTCCATATGATCGGAGGCGAATCCGTGGAGTTGAAGCCGTCAACCAAACTGTCCACAATGTTCACGGATGGAGTAGAGGTCAGATGTGTCCATGTTGTCGTACAGCGTCCTGCTGTTGCACGACTCTTTCCAATTGTTGAACAATGTCTCGCGTATCTCAAGAAGGGTGCAGGTGCTCTGTCAACTGGTGCAAAAGCGGCCGCATTCTCTCTAACGCAGAACAACCAAGAGTACCCTTGCAATCGTCCTCGCAGAGCTGCGGACCCTGTTCCGGTCACTCTTCTCGAGCGTATCTTCGCCGAGTTCGTGGATGATTGCCAAAATCAACAACCAACTGACCACGATAACGACCTTGTTTGGCAACTTTCGGAAACGATGTGCTCCTTCTATACGGATGAGCTCGCGCAGATGGATGCATTTCGGCATGTGCTCTGCGAGTACGGTATCATACTCGATCCTTCTATGGTTGGCGCGACACAATGTATGACAGACGGACATCTTACGTCCTCCGACGGAATGTTTGTGCAGGTGATACTGAAGGGGAAGAACGAGATCGGATGCGGCGCTGCCGAACCATTCCTGGAGGCAATGTTATACCACCGCAAGTTTATGGAAGAGTCGAAAATGGAGATAGCCAAGCTCTGGTCTGTCTTTCCATGCATCCATATCATTGTCTTCGGTAGTTCATTTCATCAGATTCATTGCTAAAACCCTTTATTGACCACAACTAGGGGCATGCATTGGCTTTGCAGGCTCTGTTTTGACAAACAAGGTCCAGTCTGATATCCTGGGCCCTATCATTCCTCTGTTTTGGCATTCGACAGACGTCCATTTGCAAGTGATGGCGGCTCGTACTTTTGGGGCTCTCAAAATCGCCGTCGAGAAACTCACAAATCTGTACTCCCATGACATTCCGACCGTCGAATCCAAAAATCAATCTCCAGGATATCCTCATCCTCGGAGTTATTCAACCTCAACCAATGGCATTCAGGAATTCTCGTATGACGAGACTCAAATTCTCAGGGATCAACTTATCTTCTTCGGGGAAACCGTTGGCGATGCGGCTGGGAGCAAGATATGTATCAATTTCATCAGGCACTATTCCCCTGAGGCCCACAAATTCTGTGCCCACAGGTTCGTGTCATATTGATGCATTAAACAGTACAACTGTAGCGCACCAGTGATGCATCATTGGTGCAATTGTACCACCCTTTGCTTTTCTCACACTGATGCATCAGCCTCCTGCAGGCTGATGCGTCCTCTCTTTGCTGATGCATCTCGTCTGTTTTCTGATGCATCAGTCCTCTATTTACTGATGCATTCCATCCGTTTTTTGATGCATCAGTCCACCGTTGCTGAAGCATCTCTTCCATTTGCTGGTCCTCTGTTTACACCCAGTCTCACTTTGGTATGCCCTCCCGCCATCTTGTGCCTCCCTTGTTTGCTGCTGCTCCGTTTACACCCGACACTACTTTCCTGCGCCCTCCCGCCGTCCTGTTTCCTCCTGCCGTTTTGCATGTGCCCTCCCGCCATCTTGTGCCCTCCCGCCATCTTGTGCCCTCCCACCATCTTGTGGCCTCCCACCATCTTGTGCCCTCCCGCCATCTTGTGGCCTCCCACCATCTTGTGCCCTCCCGCCATCTTGTATCCTCCTCCCGCCATCTTGTGCCCTCCCACCATCTTGTGTCCTCCTCCCGCCATCTTTGCCTTCCCGCCATCTTGTGCCCTCCCGCCATCTTGTGCCCTCCCACCATCTTGTGCCCTCCCACCATCTTGTGCCCTCCTCCCACCATCTTGTGCCCTCCCACCATCTTGTGCCCTCCTCCCGCCATCTTGTGCCCTCCCACCATCTTGTGCCCTCCCACCATCTTGTGCCCTCCTCCCACCATCTTGTGCCCTCCCACCATCTTGTGCCCTCCTCCCGCCATCTTGTGGCCTCCCACCATCTTGTGGCCTCCCGCCATCTTGTATCCTCCTCCCGCCATCTTGTGCCCTCCCGCCATCTTGTGCCCTCCTACGTTTGCTGCTGCTTCGTCTGCACCTGACCCTACTTTCTTGCGCCCTCCTGCCGTCCTGTTTCCTCCCGTCGTCTTGTGCCTCCTGCCATTTTGTGTGTGCTATCACACCTGCCTAGCGATTGTCTTCATTCTAACTATCACTACACGTGTATTGTGTTTATCTACCAATATGAAAACAAAAGTTTACTATGTATCCAAGTCCATGTCTTGCTGAGTAATGAGCGAGCTGTGGTCAAACATGTTCACGAGTGCCAAGGTGTCAGTCCAGCTGGTCTTGAAGGACTCAGCAAGCATTCGATGTAAGGAAGCTTGACGTTTGGCATATGCCATACGGCCCTCGCATTCTTCTTCACCTGCATCCTCTAACGTGTTTTCCAGGCCCCTTTCATCCCAGCGTTGCGCATCCCATGCCAAAAATTGCAGAATCCTTCGCATCTCCTCCTTCAACAATTCCACCTCTTCCGCCCAGCGCATCGCCCGTGCCCTGGCTTTGCACCATTCTATTCGCATGTCTGATTGTCTGTGAGTCTGACTGGGAAGCCATAAAATAAAGAGCCGCCTACCTTCCAAGGCATTGTCCTTGTCCATCTCACTGGCAGCCGCTTCCTGCATATTCCAAATCCACGATAGCTTTCTTGTTCCCTCTGTTTCTCCCCATAATAAGTCCGTCATCGAGCGGATGTCACCTCGGTCTAGCGGTCGCAGTGATGAGTGCCACCCAGTCTGATTCACTCGCGGTGAAAGAACCACAAGGGCTCTATGCGCATGCTCATAAGTGCTGGCAGCAGCCTCAATCCTCGCCTCAACAGCTTTCAACGTATTCCGTGCCCTTGTGTTTGCTCCTTGTCCACGGAGGTTGCGGTCTTTGTACTTGAGGACCGCAGTCTGAGCACGTAAGTTTGAACGGAGAGAGCGAAGTCCATCGTGAGCCTGTGCATATCGCAGCTTCCATTCGATGGCTTGGAGACGACTGTCGCAAGGTGAAGTCCTGCTGATCTGGGATGGCAGCCAGAGCTTGACTGCTTCTGGTGCAGCAGTCATGGTGCCAGATACTGAACGATCGCTCATACGTAGCCCAGTGAGTGATGGCAGGTATAGTTCCTGTATCTTCACCCAGGCATCAATCCGGCGTCGGAGAGCATTTCTTCGCTGAAGTATCTTCCCTTCTTGATTATCTGTTGCATGGACTCCGAGGCCAGCTCTGTTTGCCTTCATTCGCCGTCTTTTAAAGTAAGAACAGTATCATAAAAGCAACAGTTGCCAACTCACTGTTGTTCCTCAAGTTCTAAGCCAGTGCTAATTAATACACTAGGGGTGCAGTCCTCGTGTAGGGCGAGGCAAGTTCCTGTTCGAAGGTCGCTCTCGTCCTCCTTAGCTAGTTCTAGTCGTACCGAAGCCATGGTGACAGCTGCAATGCGTCAAGGTTGAAATAAGCACGTAAAAAATTATCATCATTGTCTCATACTTACTTTCTGCTTTTCGTTCGAAAGGATTAGGCTGCGTAGGGTCGTACTCCCAAGCCTCGACTTGTTCTCTCCATTGTTTGAGGGCGGCACCATATTCGCCTCGCAAACCATCATTGAGGTCCTCGAATGCTTCACGATGGTTCTCGCGCTCTGGCAATGCATTCTTTATTTTATAAAGCATAGCATGACCTAAAAAAATCTTAGTTACCATGTTTTTATCACAAAAATCAACGCACCTAGTCCAACAACCTTTTTCCAATTCAAGTCTCCGAAGTAGTCGTCAAGGGTGTCTCGCCGTGCGCCAGGCCCCATTTCTTTTGTGCTTGAAGTGACGGGGTTGATATTAGCCCAGCCATGTTCTGGTGCTTCTCCGTCAGTCCTGCCTACCCCGTTCTTGAAATTAAACGAAAATGATGTCTGGCACTGCTCAATATGAGCAGGCAAGTGGAACTTCGGCACGAAAAATGAGATTGTCTTGACGGCATGTGAGAGATGCATCGAAATCGGAAAGGCACTCATACGGTGCCATAACTTTTTGTGCCATTGGCACGCGATATCGTAGGATATATTGAGATTGTCGAGTGCAGTATGACGAAGTGTCGAGAAAAAAAAATAGTCCATGTTAATATATCTACATGCGTGTGTTAGTTCGCCAACTACTGGATGCAAATAACAACTTACCTTTCACCCTTTTGAAGATCCCCGACAGCATTGGGCAGTTTCATGTTGTGACGGGCACAGTCGACCGTACCTAAACCAGTGGTAGCGAGTCCGTGGTTAGATTTTGTATCGGCCATATTTACAGTGTTGTGACTTGAACACGTTGACTTCTACAAAGCTAACCGTCAATATATGAGAAAGGATAATCTAAACTACTAACCTCCTGGACACTGTCTGCACCGCTGTGCAGGAAGTCCTTATATGCTTTGTCCTCGACGAAATAACCCCATCCATGACTCAGGCTTGGGTCAACACCGTCGTTTGAAATAGCCTTGCGTTTTAAGCGGAAGTTCGCATCTATAGCAAGGAATAGTCCATATAGCCACCTAACAGTACTATATCAGTAGAAATTCCACTCTGGACTGACACTCGCTGTAAACTTACTGTCTAGGAGCATCTTTCCAACCAGCAGGGAGATTCTTCCCTGGGTGTGGGCACGCCGGGCACAATACAGTACATTCACCCTCAACCGTCCCATCTACACCGCTGGGATCATGACCTCGCCCCGAGCGTTTAAGCATCTTCAAGTGGCGCCACTCACGTATCATCCGTGTAAATGATTCATACCGATCCTGGAGGAAGCTGGATTAATTTTGAAGGCACCTAAAATGTTAAATTTACCTTGATGGGAAGTAAACCAGTGTTATCGGACATCCGGCTGAGCGCATTATAAAATTCGAAGGCAGATACTTTTGACTCGAATGAGAGCAAGTGGTAGTGTTCAAGAACATGGAATGTCGCAGCGGTTTTTGGATCTGACGTTGTCGAAGGAAACCACGATATTCGAAGTAGCTGCTATATATGGCTTTGAGCTGTTGCGCAATTGCAGAAATCGAGAGATACTTCGTGTATACCATGAGTGTCGACAACAATAAAATCATCATTGAATGCACGACGAGGATTAAGACATTTTTGGCCAGTGATGTGGCCAAGCTGGATGTGAAGGCCCAGAGTTTTCAGCGAGATTCGCTCGAAGTGTTGACCATTCCATTTCTGTATTGATATTAGACATTAGCCTTGCATCCTGATCTCCCAATCAAACATGAAAACGTACCTCCAATCGGTGAAGCGGGTGGCACACATGAGCTAACAGGATGCAAGGTGAGCAATAGAGCTCTGGCCCTAAGCAGTCCCGACACCTGTACTCTGGGTTGGGACAATCACACTCCGAGCAAGATTGAGCGCCAAGTCTATTACATCTTCCTTCAAGACGGATCATTTCCTGCAGAAATAAGTCTCGGTGTTTCAACCACATCAACAAAGGATGATCCTGAATAATAATGAGCGACATGTCAAAGGATTCAGAACATTATAGTGTACATACGCCTGCTGCTCATTTTCTCTTTTGCTGCCCTAAAAAGTCCAAAGATACATCAAGTGGGAGATCATCAAACGGCTCAGGAATTGACAATAGTGTCGCATCATGCAGAGTTGGTGCCACACGAGTTCGATTATTAATAGTTGCTTTAGCGTTCTTCGGAGGTTTGAGACGCTTCAGTGTATAAGTTATTGACCCATCTTGATGAGCTTGGTATTCAGTATGGTGGTGAGAAGGGACTGAGAGTGCGTGGTAAATGTTGAGCTTGGGTTTCTTTTTTCGTTTCTTGAGTACTCTGGGCGTTACTTCACAGCATATGGTCTGAGTTGAAGATGGCCCTGCCTCAGAAGAGCCGATGGTAGGATCTGTAGACATTCTTTGGTGATATCTGTGTTGATTGTCACGGTGTCGAGTGAAGAAAATACTGACCTCACACATTTACGGTTAGAGTCATTACTAGACAAAAAATCAATACGTAATGAAAAATATCGCATTCATTTGCCAGAAGACGAACATGACGGAGATGAATAAGTAGTCAAAAACCAACAGATCTTGAAGCTGTGCGAACCAAACACCACAAACAGACACATTTAGGGCCAGGATACCAGCAATGATGCGATGATGCCTTAAAGCTGGTGTGGAGATATCAACAAATGCTACCCAACGGAGTATAGTATCAAGCCTACCAGTGTGTCACCTGCTTGCTGCAAGCCTACGTCGGATGGCACAACGAACTTTCTGTTCTCCCAGAACAAGGGACCGAACAGTGAAGTACATAGCAACACGATTGCCTGGTGTCCGAAGTTCAATTTTCACGATATCCCTATGGCAAGTGTTAAATATAGAGTTAATGAAAACGTGAATACTCACCAGATGTGAGATGAAAAAACTCCGATGTAGCGGCCCTGCGTAACACAATAAAATGGGGGCTCTAGACCACGCTGAGCAGGCATATTATAGAATATTCCTCGATAAGAATATAAAAAGCACTCGTCTGCCATAGCGTTCGCAGCCTCCTCAAACTCTATACTGCCCTCGTGCACAGTCACGAACTCCTCTTGTTTGGCCATGTAGGATGTCGTGGTAATATCAAGCCAAAGGGGCTCGCTGGATCGTCCATTGAGAGATATCCTGGGAGTGGGGAAGCAGAAAGACACTACATTTTTGGGGAATTAGTCCTCAGAAATTCCTCCATAAACGTAATGAAAGGCTCACCCTGCATCATGAACATCAATACAGTCGTAGGTGCAGTATTTTGACGATGGTTGATGCCAAGTTCCAGAGAAAATTGCCGGTGGTAGTTGCAGTATTTTTCGAGTTAGTCTTATGTACCGCCACCAATGATATAGCACTCACCCCTGGACAGTAACATTGATATTGAAACTTGATTAGACCTAAATCGTAATATTAGAAATCAATGTCCAGTGTTTGGGATCACCGGTACGACATTTTCAGACAGTATGAGGCATCACTGATGCATCACTGTGATTCGTACAAGTGCGATGACACCAAGAGTGTTGACCAGTCACTGGAGGACTTGTCAGATATGAAGTTGTCGGTGTAGTATAGTAGCTCACCGCGTGAAGTATATCCTGTAGGTCAATCATGACATGCGTGAGCAGAATGCAAGTGGTGGCCAGGATTCCTAGTACAAGGCGAGATGTACCAGTTGCTGGAGGACTTGTCAGATATGAAGTTGTCAGTGTGGTATAGTAGCTCACCGCGTAGAGTATATCCTGTAGGCCAATCATGACATGCGTGAGCAGAAGTGGCGGTCAGGATTCCAAGTACGAGGCAAAATGCACTGGTTGAAATTGAGATGGCTCGGGTTCCTTGCAATGACACAAAGAATGTTGACCAGTCGCTGGAGGACTTGCTTGTTTATTAGACAGTGTAAGATTTGGACGTAAAGTGACAATAATGCGCATCATACCATTTCACCAATGACGCTCTTTTTGGCTTGTTCTTCTTGCTGATGATGGCACGATTTCTGTGTCTTTTGGTAAACATCAGTAGCTAGAACTGAAAGAGAAGTGCGCATTTTGCATTTGAATATCTCTTGAAGTAAGAACAAGCAATGTCGAATTTGCATTTCCAAATGTGATGAATTAAGGCTGAAGCGCTGACTCTGAGTGCGGCTTATTGTTACCGTGCCAAAAGCGGCAAGCAAGAACTGCCGCAAACTTCAGTGCGTCGCGCGTCACATTCAACTTGTTGCAAACATTCAACTACTATCATGCATGCATGCTATCATTGCACATTGCATTGGACTGATTCTTTCCACCAACTTCTAATGTTGTCCAGGTGGGTCTTTAGTTATTGACCAATACGACACAAATGTACTTCTATCTACAATAAGCACAAAACGGTTGATCCCGCGGAACCAATTCGCGTGTCTGTGCTCCACCTCATGCTGAGCTCCACCTGTCGTCTAAATTGGTCTGGCACCATGTGTGCTTGACGTCTATCGATCATTGTCCCGATTTACTAATGTAGCTGCAGTGCGATATTTGCAATTGCCTTTGATTTTGACATTCAAATGTTCAACTACCTTTCGGATTTCGGTTCTGATGTTCGACCTTCCAACATATCAATGCCCAGGTGGTTCTCTGCTTTCTCTTGATGCACTGGAAATCTGAATATGAGAGTATAGTATATGTTCATTGCTCAATATTAGAACCTTCAACGTTGAACGTCCAGGTGATTTCCTGCTTGCTCTCAATTGTGCGATGTTCTGAACTTATACATTTAATGTTCAACGTCCAGGTAATTTTTCGCTTGCTCTCAATTGTGCTATGTTATGCACTCATACATTCAACGTTCAATCTCCAGGTGATGCCCCGCTTCCTCTCAATCGTGATATGTTCTGAACTTGTACATTCAGTGTCCGATGTCTGGGTGATCCTCCACTTGCTCTCAATTTGTGCTATGTTATGCACTCGTATGTTCGACGTTCAATGTCCAGGTAATTTCCCGCTTGCTCTCAATTTGGCGATACTCTGAACTTATCATATGAGTATAGTCTACCATGGCGTTCATTCAAACCGTCATCAGTCCTCAAATGAAAATGTTGTCCTGCAGTTGGATCATGTAGTAAGTTCATTAAATTAACTTCCTTTTTTCAATGGGCGATATTGATTTGTTGGTTGGCAATGAGCCTTATAAGGTCAGACATAGACGTCGTGAAGGGACACACTTTTCTTTCCTCCTGCAAAGCAAAAAAAAGGTATGGCGGTCTAACTATTAGCATGGCGTATGACTGAACATTCTATGGTAGATGCCACCGGCTAAGTGGACTACAATGGAACAGTATCAATGGCTCCAAGAACAGTTACCGGAGTATGCTACACTCCGCAACAGTGAGGCCAAGGACTACACGGTCTTTTGGCCCAAGATCAACCTTCAGTTGGTTTTGCACATGGCCCGAGCGAGCGATCCTCTTCCCTGATATCCCTATCGACGTCATGCTAACAGAGGAGCAAAAAGCCACAGAAATTGCTGCTGAGGATTCACGTAAAGTTGTAAGTCGTCAAATGCATCAACATTTTTTGACCACTGAGGCAAAACCCTGTCAGCAACTGCAAACTTGGTTTCGCTGGCGGACAAACGCTTCCAAGAAAAATTGTGGCCTAAAAAAGGACACGTCCATCTTCGAAGCTGCACTGGTACCTAAGTCGCGCTCAAAATCCGCTGAGGAGATATACATGGACATGGTCTATGACGAACGGATCAGACCTCTCATCAAAGCCGAAGAAGAAGCCGGTAATGTAAGTACAGCTGGCCGCCGCATGGCATTGGGCCGAAAGTTTTGCAAGGAGCTCCTAGAAGACGAGTCAGACGAGGTTAAGAAGGAGGTGAAAGATAAGTATGATAAACAAAAAAAGGTAAAAAGGGACATGTTAGACGATGAAGATGATAACTATGAAACTGATCCTGATGCCATCGCGAAGTAAGTACTGGCTTATTTGTGAGTTTAATGTACTCACGCAGCCTATAGAGCTATCGATGATTTGCCAATCATATGCCAGCGTTTTGCACGTCTCATCAAAAAGAAAACTCGATTCATAGTCTCTTTCATGTGCGCTGGACCCGAGCCGAGGCACAATTGGGACATCGTTTCATTATCGTAAGTGCAACGAACTAGCAAGATGACTAATGAGCTCACCCTATCAAGGTGCCATCCATCGGAGACCCCCGCTGGCAGTAATTTTTCTCAATTGTGCCCCGACAAGGACAACACATTTCTCGCTGCATACCAGCAATATGCTGAGTTGATATTTCGTAAGCCAGTCCCTACTGTTCAAATCACTAGAGACTCACCCTGATGCTTGTCCATCAGCTGCGAACGAGCGCAACCCACCACTACTACCGGGCGTTGGAGATGACAACGAGATCGAAGAGCTTGAAAGATGCAACAATGTTGAAGAATCTGGGAGTGAAGAAGAACTTGGTGAGGACGGTGAAAAGAACGTCAACGGAGGATGCGATGATTCTATGGACTGGAATAATTCAGGTCTTTATAGTGTTTTGTGCCCACCTGATGCAAGCTGATGCATAAATAACAGGCTTCGCTACTTCCTTGACTGATGCATCAATGTCAGGTAATACCGAAGCCGGTATCAGTGATGCATCATCACTTGATGAAATTGATCAATCCGCGTTTAACTCCGAGGTAAGGCCCTTTTATCATCCCGCCTATGTCATCTAACATTTTCTGACACAGCCCCAATCTAATGCATCACTCACGCAGGCCCAGCATGATGCATCGCTCACGCAGGCCCAGCGTGATGCATCACTCGCGCAGGCTCCACTTCATGCATCATTTGATTGGCATAACACTAATATGCTACCTCCGAGTCCCAATCCAGCTAGTGTGCCACAATCCAGTGTGCCTGGGATGATTGAGGCACTCGAGTCATCATTTTCGCATACTGACCTCACGGCAATGGGGTTTTTGGGTGGCGGTAGCACCATGCCGAATCCATTTCCCCCAGCATTCAATTCATTAGCACCCTCATTCAATACTGCACCAGGATACTATGACGTGCAATACAGCATGCCATACGGCACGGATACGTGGAATTTCAGCAACCTTGACTCACAAGGGTGGCAGATGCCTAGCCTGTCCTCCCCAATCTCGGCTAGTGCCTCCGAAGTCCGGTTCGGTCAGGTTCATGGCCCTATGTCTGCGAACCCTGAACTTGACCATTGGTCAGGTTCAGGCATGGTGGCCGAACCTTGGACCGGACGCCTTCGAACGCGTTCGGAAGGGTTCAGTTCAGGTTCAGAACACGTTCGAACTCTCGAACCGTTGTTTAAATTGCAAAAAAAATTAAAATTGACAAAAAATGAGAACAAAACCTGCTAGTACGAATAACTACTAAAACTCTTCCTCGACGACAACGCAGTTATCGTAAGGAGCAGCAAACTCAGCCTGGGATGTTGCAGAAATGTGGCCTTGACGGTATGCGCTCTTGAGCAACTGGAGAGCCTCGAATGTTGCTGGCTGCAAACACGCCGCAGGAGGTCCTGGAGCTGACCATTTGGCTGAATTGCTGCTGGCAGTCTCACGGACCTTCTCCGTAGGTTTGACAGCACGACCCGAACGACGTATGAAAGAGCTGAGAGTGCCATTGTGCGCAGGAGGGGGAGGGGGAGGAAGCATCGGAGTGTCATCATCGGCATCATTGTACCAATCAATCTCGCTAGCATCTTTCAGCGAACCATCAACACGACGTGCGGAGGACACGGTGGCAGCAGTAGCGGTAGCAGGGAGTGAAAATGGCCAACTTATACAACAAGTAAGTATATTGTAACTAAATTCAAAATGATTGCGCACCATAAAGCCCTGATACACGAACATTCCGCACCAGAAAACGCCGGAGTGTGAACAAATGCCAGAACAGCAGTGTGGTGAATCAAAAGTGCGGACAGTATGTCCTGAAATAAATGGCATTAGAAGTTAGCAACGACAAACAGTGAACGTGTTGTGAACGTACCGGCACCTTGATAAGTCGCATTGCTGAAGAGACCAAGAGAAGAACACGGATGAGGGCAATGTAGTTACTGCAAGTAGGCTAGAAGGGGGGGAAGACAGTAAAGCGACGGGCAAGCACAATGCTTAAACAGAAAACCTTACCAAAAACATGAGGCTTCGTTGCCGGTTTGAGAATCTAAGTTGGATAAAAATACATCAGGTTCAAACCGGTCTGGACGCGTCTGGACCGGTTCACGTGCTCCAGGAAAATACCGGACCTCGGACCTATTAGGGGGTTCGGTCCAGCAGAAATACCGGACCTGTGACTGAACCAATGGTCCAGTCCGCAAAGGTTCGAGTTCGAACCTAGGTTCGGGACCGGACTTCGGAGGCACTAATCTCGGCCAAGCGCACTACCGCCACATCTGAGCTAGATGACGTTCTTCCTCACTTCACTCATCAGTCGCCCATTCTTCCGGCAGCAAATCCTCCTGCAGAGGACAGTGCAAAAGACCTTGCCAGCATTAATGTTGGTGCTGGTCTTCCTAAGTCCAAGCGCAAGCGTAAGTCGAAGCTCCCGGCTGCCGAAGTCAATTGCGATCCTGCTGTAGAACCCACCCCCACCATCACGCCCACAAACACGGCTAAACCCAAGGCCAAACCCAAAGCAAAACCTCTCCCGAAGTCTAGTGTGGTAACAGAGACATCATACGCTACTGCCGAGGAAGGCCCCAATACTGCCACGCAACAGAATCCGGCGGTTGATATTGGAGCAGCTCCTCGTGTATCAAAACGAGTTCCAATCAAGTCTAGGCGGAATGTTGTCGCTGACGCTATTGGGTCAGATGGTTCAACGTTCATTGCTGTTTTGAAGGATGTTGGGGCATCAATGACGAAGCGTCCTCCCAACTTGACTATGGAGGGCATGATTCCTGCAAAGTACGTTCAAGATATCCTAGTCTATTCTCACTTGCTCAATTCTAATAAACACAGGAAAAGGCGAATGAAGGCATGAGCCTACGTCTTTGTGTCATGATCGCAAATTTGCTTCTCGTATCATAGTAGTCTCTGTTTTTCTCTTGATGAATATAGTTGTTACTCAGTGTCAACGGACATTGCAACCGGATCAAAATTGAGATTGGGATGAGAAAGGATGTACTTGTACAAGAATTTCGGGCTTGTAGACTACATGATTCAATATCTGAGCGTTTTGTTCTGGCGTGTGCTAGTTGTCTTATAGAAATACCAGTTTTGCAGCGAAGGCTTCCGCGTCTGATGCTGTCCTGAGCATCCGTAGGTGAATGAGCAGATCTAAGCATGTCGTCTGGTTCATTGATAGTTGGTGAAGGCTTTGAGCACTCGAAAGCTCTGACTGGTTTCAATGGCAGCTCTTCAGGCCCTGAAAATTATGACATACAAGACATACACACTACAGTAAATCTCCGAAGTTCGAGTGCAAACTAGTACAAGTGTCATGGACCTGTGCTTGAAAGTGACCGCGCCGAGTGATGTCTGTTGAGAGCCGATGAATCTGAGGAGCGGAGGGCCGAGAGAGACAGAGCCGAAGGGGAGAAGGAGAGTATGGCCGATGAACGAAGCACATCGAGTGCGAGCGCCTCCAAACGGAGAACATGGACGACGTGTCAACATCGGCAATCTTTTCGTTTTTAAGTATATATTTTTCATCAAAAGTCTTGCTGGCACACTCACCATATAAGAGCTCACCAAAGTCGTAACATCTCAGTTTCGTAAACGAATACTGAGATATTCATACCTTGTTTAGTGTGTCGTGAAACCTCCCGCTCGTATTGATTATCCACAATGTCTAGCTCACATGCAAAGGAGAAGTCGAGAAAGGATGGAGTGGTAAGTTCAGTATGTAACCGCGGGGCCACTAGTACAAGAGGGTCCGTGCACAGGATATGGCAGTGAGCAGGCGGCAGCAGCAGGATGTGGACCCATGTGGACCATGCATGACCAGCTTCCCTTTCTTGATGGTTTAAGACATTACTGATGGTAAGAAGGATCCATGTGCAGTGTATGGTGGTGAGTAGTAGTAGGTGGCGGCGGGACGATACTGGGAGGTATTGTTGATCGTGTATATACGTATGAGCGTGAGATGCTTCCCTTTTTTGAGAATATTGATTTGATGCATTACTGATGCGTTACTGATGCATTCCAGGCATCAGTAATGCATCAGTAATGCATCAACTATTGCTTTGCTCCTCAATGCAGCTTTGATGCATCACTGCAGCGCTACAACTGCAACAAATTGTTGCATCAAAATGACAAGGACGCCTGCTGTGCCAGCAAGGGGCGCGCTCCCAAACTTATCGCCTACGATCCTTTACCCGGCGGCTGGAATATGGTAGTTATGGATGCCCTTGATATTGATGATGATAACTTCCCGCAACGGCCTGGCTCATATCGACAGCTCAGTAAGATGGCTGTTGTGGACCGCCAGCCGCTGAAGGAGGCCATCACCTCTCTCATCCAGCAGTTACACGATGAAGGTTACGTTCATGGCGACCTTCGGGATGCCAATCTTGTTGTGAACGACAACAAAGACTTCATGCTGCTCGACTTCGATTGGGCTGGACCGAAGCAAGAGACCCATTATCCGCTACGTGTTAATCGGACGGATATTCGACGTCCTGATGATGCGCGGGATGGGGAGAAGATTACCACAGAGCATGACTTGGAGATGCTAAATTTGGTATTTGATTCTGATGGTTGGAAGCCGCCTGCAAAGCGCCGCCGTGTAGAAGGGTTGGCGATGACGCCTCTTTCATAATTCATTGTATCACCATTCGCTGTATCACCAAAAGTCCAACTTGCCTACATAATACCAGTCTGTTTAGTGCACCGGGTGACTGCGAGAAATTCAAGACAACTCTCTCAATGACAATTGGGACCTGAGCCAATGAATCAAGATTCACAAAGTGATTTGTAGCGTCAGTGGGACATGGAAGCTATTGACCCGGCAGTAACGCTACTGCTCTGTATTCCCCTATGGTGGTATGTAACAAAGTAGAAATTGCCCGGAAGGGGGTACAGAATCAAAGAAGACGATTGCCGAAAAAGCCAAGGGATGGTGGTACTCAATAATGTTGTTGGAGTTGTCCCGGGTTCGTTGCTTGCCACTAGCGACAATGGATGGCTCATCGTTGTTGTCGCCCCGGTTAGGCTAAACCAACTTGCTGTCCATCTTGAAGCTGGTCTTCGCAGTGTGCATGCCACGGACGGATGTCTGTCACGACTAGTGTAAGATTCATCCTGGAAGGGTCAGGAACGGTTTAACGTTATTCATCCTCAAGGTGATGCAGACTTGTCACCTGACCCAGTGGGCATGATAAGCACCCGCATGTCGCGGTCCTCGATGTCAAGCAGTATTAATCCCATCTTTCTTTGCCGGCATTTACAAGAGTGCAGACACCGCCAGGGTGAGATATATTGCATAGGCGTTGAGCGTTTGAACGTTGAGCAAGGACGTCCAGCAGGTATCGCGATTCTCGCTTGTCGTCTAGCACATACTAACTTGTCTTCGTTCACAGTATTAACTCGAAGATTGTTCCGCAGGTTCTTCCCATCTCATTGTCCCTAGTCAGCATGTTCAGCAGTAGCGGAAGAATCTCGTATCGTTATCCGGCAAACGAGCCTAGCTAGTTCAGAAGTGTTCAGAAGTGCGAATGACCGGAAACATTATGTTTAGCCTAAAGTGTGACGTGCGGTAGGACCAAAGTAGTCTGAGAGACACAGATATGGGCAGCTCAAGTAGGGTGCTCACCCTATCGTTGCGGCGCCATCGGAAATAAATGTATCCGCTTGACTTGTCAGGGCCTGATTTCTTTGCTACTCATTACCTTATCCGCTCATTTCAGAGAAGCTTCGGCATACATATAAAAATAGTTGGAATTCTGTTGGAACGCTAGGCAATGTATTGGTTTGACTACATAGAGTAGCATAGGACTCTGACGGACTCGGAGAGCTTGAGACCGTGATTAATAAAAGGGAAGGTGTTCTTGATTGACCTGATCGACACCTTGAATACGGTCGAATTGCAAAGGTGGAGGAGAGCATACCAATATCACCCGGTTCTCCAAAGAAGACATGATCCTCAGAACCTCATTTCACGACAAGAGTGATTGAACCGCAGGCACATGGAAAAGAAGCATGCAGCGTGATGGCACAAATCACCAAGGTACTGAAGATGGAATAATGCGACCGAGAGAAGTCGTTGGGCACGCACGCGAGCATGCACACAGCTGTTGATTGTCACATGGACCGAAGATAAGATCAGTGCCTGGGGGTTGGTGCCAAGCTCACAACTGTTGTGGGAGGTTGTGGCAAGGTTGTGGAATCCTTTTTTGATGATGGGTTGCAAGGCTGCAACTCGGACGCCGGTTCAACAGAATTTTGATTGAAGAGTTTGTAAAGCGACAATGACATGGGAATAACCTTGGCGTTCGCTGATACACCCATGCATGGGTCCAGTGGTAGAATGCAATGACTGAAAAATCAACTGCTCATTGTTTAGACGCTAGAGCACATGCGGATCATGCACACGAAATGCAAAACACGTGTACACGTGTTCAGAATCAGAAGACAGATGACCCGAATTGAGTGTAAATGATTACATGATAAGCTCTTTAGGAACCAAGCACATGTGACACAACCGTACGATTACTTCTGGGCCAAGTACTTGCCTTCATAAAAGCAAATCCTCACGACATGATTACACGACCTAGGCCTCGACTTCGACCTTTTACTCTCCGCCCCCACCAGAAGAGCGGCTAATCGCCCAGGATGGCAGATGGTGATCTCATCGCGGCTCTTGCCCAAGCTAGTACGATTCAGCATAGTGGCCCTGTTTATGACGCAGAGAAAAAGCCCTTGGAGAGCATGGTTGCTGATTCTTTGGAAGACGATGACGACAGCATCCATGAGGGCTTACCGTTCCCTACTGCCGAAGAGATGCTTACTCTCAGACGTGTATCTGATGCAATTCCATGGAATGCGTATCGTGAGTTGTTTCTTCATGCAGATGTAGCCCATTAAAGTCCACATTAATTTTGTAGTGATCGCTGTCGTGGAGCTTGCGGAACGATTCTCTGTGAGTTCATCTTGTCGTGTCATATCATGAATGCTCATTTAACTTGCCTTTCAGTACTATGGTATGTTACACACCTTGATCGCTATTACATCGTGTCAATTTTAATGTCATTTTCAAAGGCTCTAGTGTTGTTTTCGTGAGTATTCAATCACTTTTCAATGAATCATTTATACGAACGTCTATCTCCTACAGACCAACTACATCCAGCAACCCCTTCCTCCTTTCTCCCGTACCGGCGCAGGTGGTGAAAATGGCCAATCTGGTGCCCTTGGCGCCGGTCAACAAATGTCTACAGGCCTTACCACGTTCTATCAGTTCTGGTTCGTGTGTTTTTGCTTATATCTTGTTGTCAGTCTCTTGATCGCGGTTTCATTTAGGGCTTACATCTGTCCAATTGCTGGCGCCTATATTGCTGATACCTACTGGGGCCGTTACAAAACAATCTGCTGGAGTGTCGTCGTTGCCATGTTGGGCCACATCATCATGATCGTCTCTTCAATTCCTGGCATAATAGGCGGTCGTGCATCGCTTGGCATATTTATCCTATCCATGGTTATCACCAGCACTGGCACCGGCGGCTTTAAGTCGAATGTCTCCCCTTTGGTTGCAGAGCAATATCGAATAAAAAAATGTTACATTACTACGACTAGTTCGGGCGAGCGCGTCATCGTTGACCCGGCCATGACCACTACGAGAATCTATATGGTAGGCCGAGTCCAACGCACATTTCAAGCTGCTACTCACACCACCTGCAGTATTTCTACCTGTTTATCAACATCGGTGCTCTCGTTGGTCAGATTGGAATGGTTTATGCGGAAAAGGTACGTTCCCAAATGAGATCTTGAATTATCTGATACGGTATTCTAGTTTGTTGGATTCTGGCTGGCCTACACATTGCCGAC